TTCCCATAATTTTATAATGTCAGAGCAGGAAAGGACCTTGGAAATCCAGGAGTCTAGCTCTTTCTTCTCTGGGCTTGAAGGGGAAACTCAAGTCCAGAGAAGTGAAGGGAGTTGACTAGGCAATGTCAAAGCTATGACTAGAAGCCAGGTGTCTTGACTATACCTCTCAAATATCCTATCGATTGCCTCAAGTTGGCTCATCATCCCTGAGGTATGTAGTGCTCTACTTTACAAAGGATTCGCAGAACAGTTGTGATAGATTCTCCCTTTCTCCAGTTGATGGACAGGTAAACACCACCTGTCGCCAGATTTTCCTAAGCTCTGAACCACCAATCAGCACCTGCCAAATATCCTAAATTCCTAGGTCCCTTATCACCAATCAGCGTGTGCTGAGTGCCCTAAGCCCCGCCCCCATCCATAAAGGTGCTCGCTCTCTTTCGCTCCTCTCCGTGGAAGCAGCCGGCAGGGGTACCCTTCCCTCCAATAAAGCCTGTGTGTGTCTTGCCATCCTTGTCTCCGGTCTACCTTCTTTATTTAATCTACCATGATGGTGCCTCAGACTCGGGTGAACGTGGATGATCCTTTGTGATCCAGGGTCCTGAGTTGATTGGCCCGTTCAGAACACCTCTGGAACCCTGCAGTACCAGGACACATGGAAATCTCATCACTTCCTTACCGGTAGGCCTCAGGGATCCCCCCCCCCCCCCCACGCTGGTTCCCTTGACCTTGAAGGGTTTCAGCGTTTTCTCGTCTACTCGGCTAGCATTGTCTACTCGGCTAGCGTTGTAAAGTCTACGTTCTACGAAAGCCCAGGCCCCTGGCCAGGAAAACTCTGTTCTACTCCATGCGAAAGGTTATGGGGGTTGACAGATCAGTCTCACAGCCATTAGCCACCTCAAATTTCCCCATTCACTCTTTCCTCGTTCTACCTCGGTACCCTGCCAGGGCTACTGTGCAACCCTTCATAAAACCCGGTTGTCTCAAACCACAGTCACCTACCTCAGTTTCACTCTCTCCAGCCATTCTTATGACTGCAAGTGCCTTATCTCCTTATCTCCTCTATATCTAGAAAGAATGCAGGCAGTTTAAAAACTCCAGGGCCTGGCTAACCTGGAAACAGCTGAGGAGCCTGCTCCCTCCCCCGCCTCCTTCCCCTTTTTGAAGCAAGAAAGTGAAGCTTCAGTCTCCAAGTCTGACAGAACAAGGTTGCTGGATACTTCTTAAGCTAAACGAGACTATTCACAGTCTCCAACCTCTTATCTAACCATCCAGGTTCCTGGCTTTCACTACTCCTCTCCTTCCCCTTTCCCTCACACTTTCACTGCAACACAGTCTCAATCACTCATCTGTCACCTCTTATTGGTAGCGTCATGGTAACTACTCTCTCAGCTTGGAGTGCGGAACTAGAAAAAAGAATCTCATACCCTTTAGTACACCTCTTCTCCTTACACCTATCAGCTTGTCTCCATCATCAGGGATTTTTCTTCCTCTGTGGGGAAAACTCATACATCTGTCTCCGCATTAGCTGGACAGGAACCTGTATTCTAATCTATCTCTCACCCAACGTAGATGAAGCCTCAATAATCAGTTTTTACCTGACCCCATAACCACTGATCTACCTACTTTGAAACCCTGTCTCAGGAGCTACAAGAAACATGCGGATGCCCAGCCAGGGGCAAAACTGGAAAAACAAGAATCTACTTCCAATGGTAACCTATTCTCCCCTTTCATATCACTAGTGAGGCAATTAAGGCCCCTACTCTTTTCCCCCTAAAAATAACATCTAGGTCTCAGTTATCTTTTAGCTCTAGATCTGTCTCCCACTCACCTGGACAATCCTGCCCCAGGGGTTCAGAGACAGTCACCTGTTTGGCCAGGCCTTACCCAGAGACCTCCAAGAATGCTTGTTAGAACCCAGCACTACACATCTCAGAGGCATACAGCTGGCCTCCACTGGTAGGATTTCTCCATCATTGGACCCCAAATTTTTCTCCTAGCTAAGCCCTTATACCAAGTCTCCTCACCCTCCCTTGTTTGCCAAGCTTTCTCTAACTCCAGGACACCCTTCTGCGCTCTCTCTCTCTCTCTCTCTCTCTCTCTCTCTCTCTCTCTCTCTCTCCTCATCTCCCCTCAGACATTTCTAATAGCCTACCTGTCCTGACAGCTTGATCCCATTTGGTGACTGCAACTCTGCCTTTGGGCTCTGGCTGCAGCTGCTGTTCTCATCAAGGAGGCCCAGAAGATTTGCCTCCAGCAACCCTTACAGGTCTTCTCAACCCATAGACTATAGGATCTTCTGTCATACCGATCCTTATCTCTCCTTGCCCCCTCTCACATGCAGGAACTCCATCTCCTGTTCCTCAAGAGTTCTGACAGCTCCCTAACCCAGTCCCCAGCCCTGAACTTAGCCACTTTCTTTCCTGCTGCCTCTACCCAAACTACAGCAAAGCACTCCTGCCCCGAAGTCATCAGAGGCCCTCACTGAACCTCGGATGGGACTCTCAGATTCCTCTCTCTAATCCTGATTTAACTCTGTGGATGGAAGCTTGTGTCTAGACCCCCAGGAACGTCAGAAAGCCACCTACACGATTGTAACACTGGAATGGACCCTGGAGATGGCCTTCATCACTCTTCACCTAGCCCACACTGCGAGAGGTAGTCATGAGTGCCTGCTCTTCCTGCTCCATGTGTGCAGCTATCTCATCCCAGGGAGGAATGCACCCCAACTTTCCTACCCATCAAATGAAGGGGACACCTCCCAGGGCAGGACTGGCAGGTAGACTTCACCTTTATGCCTCTCCCACAAAAAGACCAAATACCTGCTCACCATGGTAGACACCCTGACAGGGTGGGTAGAGGCCTTCCCTACTTGAAAGGAAACTGCTGAGGTTGTGGCTGAGATCTTGATAACACACATAATCTCTGGCATCTCCTGGAAACAGAACATACCCTCCCGCCCACATTCATTCCGTAAGATCCAGAGGAGCAACGGCTTCCTTAAAGACCACCTAACTAAAACTCTCTCTCTCTAGAAATTTACAGCTTCTGGCCGGACTTTCTGCCCATGGTCCTGACTGGAATCCGGGCTACACCAAGGAGCCCCACTTTTTTTTTACCTCCCCAAGAATCTTACCCCCCAGGTTGTCTTTCAGCTCCAGGCCCAGAAAAGCAGCAAAACCAAGCAAGTGATGCCGTGGCAGCCTCAGGATCAGCTTTTACCTCCCAAGTGACTCAAGATGTCACCAACCAGTTTCTTGGGGAAATCATGCTGCTGCACCCCTCATCCAGCATGGAAAATACTACCTGTTTTTTGCTCACATACCCCATGGCTCCTACCACTGTTAGGCCCACTGGTATCTATACTCTTAATCTTGCTCTTCGGCCCATGTCTCATGCGTTGTTTCACTAGTTTCTTGCAGGTGTTCACCAACCAGAAGGTGGGAGAGATCTGGCACTGAATTCAGAACCGAACACCAGAATCTTTGAGACCTTGGGTAGATGCCCCTAAGAGACTATGCCCCTTCTCAGCTGGAAGTAGATACCGAAGACCGACCTTCGCCCCCTGACCTTGCCCGGACTCTCAATTTTTTATTATTATTTATTTATTTTAATTAAATTATTATTTTTGTACATATACCAATGCCCCCCCCTCCCAAACATACCCTCCCTCCCCAGAGTTTTGTGTCCATTGGTTGTACTTATATGCATGTATACAAGCCGGACTCTCAATTTTTAAAAAATATTACCAGAAGCCTGGAATGATAGATCCTCCCTTTCTCCAGTTGATGGACAGAAGTAAACTCCACCTGCAGCCAGACATTCCTGAGCTCTGAACCACCAATCAGCACCTGTCAAATACCTAATCACCAATCAGTGTGTGCTGAGTGCCCAAAGCCCTGCCCCCTATCCTTAAAGGTGCTCTCTTCTCTCCATGGAAGCAGCCGGCAGGGGTACCCTTCCCTCCAATAAAGCTTGTGTGTGTCCTGCCATTCTGGTCTCCAGTCTACCTTCTCTATTTAATCTATCAAGTTGCCAGTGGATAGCAGAAAAAAGGACCATGGCCAGTCATTTTCAAACGAAAACTCAGACAACCAGTTAACTGCTACAGTCTAGAAACTGCTGTCCTGGGATTCTGTGATATTGACAAGTAGACAAGGTGCTGGCAGATATATCTCAAGAAAATGAATTAGGAGTGTCTCTAACCTTGGGGAATTCTAGCCTTAACCAAAAGTGAATCATGTAAATAGGTGAATGTGTTGGGGGACAGGCTAAAGAATCAGGATATTGATTTAAAGAAGGTGGAGACAGGGTTTGAAGGAAAGGAAGTAGTAGAGGACAGGAGAAGCCTAATTCTGAAGAAAATGAAATTGAGCAAGGATGAGGAGGAAATATGATGGGAAAAAGGCCAAACCCCCCTCCAAGCTATCAGGAGAGTCCTACAGAAGATAATGGATGAAGTGTTGAAGGAGCTGAGGCAGTTTAGCCAACCCCCCTCCCCCCCCCCCAAAAAAAAAGTTTCAGAGGGACATGGGTTTTTCAGATCTCTGAAGAGTTGTTACAGACAGAAGGGAATTTGTGTGGCCCCAGGGAGCAGATGTGAGATTCGCAGGCAGAGGACGCAGAAAAAAAAGAGTTCAGATACAAACAGGAAGAAATTTCAAAGTCAGAACTGTCTAGAAAGGGAACAAGAAATTTTGATAGGTGGCGAGATCACCATCAGTGGAAAGTTGCAGTCAGAGGCTGCTGAAATCTCTGCCAGGGTGCGGCCCAGTGTTGGGACTTCCTTTGGATGGCTCGGATACTTGGCGCTAAGGGCTGTGAAGGGGATGGGAGAGGAGCAGGGTTGGGCTGGGTGGGGGATGGGCATCCCTCCCTTGGGAAGCCCAAGCCCAGTCGGGCCTCCAAGTGGTCGTTGTGGCGGGCTAGGTCGTTGTGGCGGGCTAGGGCGGGGCCAGGCGGCCGGCAGGGAGGCGGGCGCAAGGGCGGGGAGCAGCACGGAAGCCCGGTCACATAAAGGAGCGGGCACAACTGGGGCGGCTCTTTCCTGGGTGGGGTTTGTGAAGTCGTGGCCCGTTAGCAGGAAGCTGAGCAGTTGCCTCGAGGCTACCGAGGGACTCAATCCGAGCCCCCAGTCCCCAGAGTGCGAGCCCTGTGTACTGCGCGTTCAACGCTGTCCTACAGCTCCCAGCCAAACTTTGCCAACTCAACCTCCTTTGCCGTCACCATGCCCAAGACGGTGAGTGCGGGGGGTGGGCGCTGCTGGCTCCAGAGGCTCTAGCTGACCCTTGTAGCCCCTCGCTGATAGCTTGGAAGGGGGTTTGGCCAGCCACTCGCCTGCTCGGGATGCCGCGCCCTCAACCCAGGCCTGGAGTGGGAAGGGGTGGGAGTGGAGATCTGGTATGTCGCGCCCTCGTGTGGGGGTGGGGGGGTTAGGTGGTCCCGGACTAGAAGCGTGGACTGGGCGGGGTTGGCCTGGTTTTTAGACTCCAGTTCCCTACTTCTGGGATGCGACAGTAGGGAATGCTTCCTGGGGGCCCAAGTTCTCCTTTTGTCCCTGACAGGCCAAGGGAGTGGGGGAAAAAGACTGGTCCAGAGAACACGTCCCCCAGTCCAGGAATTGGACCTTCTGGGCGAGGCTGCCACTGTGTAGGAGGGGCCCTGGGAACTGAGAAGCAAGGAGGAGGGAGATGTTAAGGGTGGATCCCCGCACCGGCACTCATCTTTCCCATGGACTCCCCAGGCAGCCTCAGCTGTTTCCCACTAGTAGGGGAGGATAGAGTTGTGGAGGAACTCTTGGAGGCTGCTTGATTTTACGCAGTAGTCATAACACTTCACTACGCACCAGCCTAAGGGCTGGAGGTCTGCCCAATTCCTAGGGGAAAAGAAGACTGGTTGCTTCCTCCTCCCCAAATCCCTGCCTTTCCCATTATTTAATGGCTCGCTAGCTCTTCCTTTACCCTCTGGACTGTTCTGTGTAGATTATTACCTCTTGGGGGATCACACCTTTCTAGAGCGGTGGTAGCTTCTAGGATCTGGTCTCCATCCCACTGGTTATTATGAAAAGAATTGAAGCCTCTTGGGAGTGGGGCCTAAGGGGGCCGGATGCACAGAAGGGAGGAGCAGATGAGGAGTCTGTCTGAATAATGAGCCCTGCTTGCTTTTGTGCAAGTCATGACAAATGGCTGCTGGGGCCCTTCCCTTGCTCAGGAAGGCCTATTGACCACCCTAGTTTGAGTCCCTTAGGCCAAGCAGCTTGTTGGGCTGACCTAGGCTATGCAGTTTCTCCTGGAACCCTCTTCCTAGGACTGCCTGATCTTTGTAGAGCTGAGATAGTGACCAGTAGCCTTGAGAATGGCTATGGGTCTCTGGATGAGAGGGGCTAGGGGGGTATAACTCATCGGGTGTGTGCTGAGCTTTGGTTGCCACGTTGCTGTATTCCAGACTTACTGCCAAGTCATTCTTGCCCTTACTAAACCCTGTCCTTCAAAAACACTAAGTTTTCAACAAGTATGTGGTTCTGTTGGTGGTAGCAGGAATGGCACCAGGTGTTAGACCAGTGGGGTCAGATCAGACCTGGTTTCAGCAACCTCCTCAGCTGAAACCCTTGAGTTCTGGCTAAGAAAGTATTCAGAGCCAAGACTCAAACTATGAGACCATTTATGTATAAAATCACAGAGGTAAAAGAAATAATTTATAGAAGACATGGGCCTAGGAAATAAGTTATAGAGGCAAAGGAAGGGCCCGTGGAACTTAGAAGTTAGGAAGGTAAAGGTGATGCACCTGGGGAATGGGGAGGGGGAAGGCAAAGACAAAGAAAGACAAAGGCAAAAATGTGGGTGTGCTCCCCAGAGAGACAGCTACTGGGTCCTCCATCCCACATCCCATGGCGAGAGGTTGTGGGGGAAGGGAAAGGGTAAGTGTAGAGATTTTAGGGGAGGTCCTAGGGAAAGATCTCATTAGAATATTCAGCAGTTTTCCAGGTGTGTCTTTTCAGGATCTAGATCCTGAGGTCAGCCTTGGCTGGTTTTATTGCTTTTCTGAGCCTGGAGCTGAAATACAACTGAGGCCTAGATGTTATTTCTAGGGAGGAAAGATCAGGGGGTGCAAATGTAATGACCAGCATATATGCTAGGGGAGGAAAGGTCACTTAAGGACGAGGTCCCACCCTACAGTTGTCTGTTGCTAGGCTTCCAGGGCTTTTCACTCTGGTGATTTAATGTACCTAGCCCACCGTCCTTGCTCTTCTCATGTCTAATTGCCTACCACAGTTCTGCTATTTCTCTCTCTTAAATTGTTTGTGGTTTTATGACATCTGGCTTTTTCACACTTGCCCTCCCACCACACTCAAAGTGAGAGAGAATGGTTTTGAAAAGAGAGGGGGAAATATACCATTGTCTCTGCCAAGACAGAGGCTTATAAAGAACCTTCCAGAAGCTTCTTAGGTTTATCTCTCTGTGGTTGACTCCTTGAATCCTTTTAAGGTGTGACTTTGCCTAAATAGGTGGGTGGATCTCTGAGAATAGATTGTCCCATTACCTCCCTTCTCTAGAGGCATTTCTCATTATTTTTATAATAATTATTTTTATTGATTTCAGAGAGGAAGGGACAGGGAGAAATAGAAACATCTGTGATAAGGGAGAAACATTGGTCAACTATCTCCTGTACATCCCCTATTGGGGATCGAGCCTGCAACCCCAGCACGTGCCCTTGACTGGAATAGAACAATCTGCAGGCTGATGCTCTATCTACTGAGCCAAACCAGCCAGGGCCATTTCTCATTTTTAATTCTGCAATATATTACATTGAAACACAACTTGATGGGTCTAGAAATTGTCTCAAAGTAGCCTTTAACCATTCCATCCTTAAGCAAAAGGATAAATAGGAGCCGTTTGAGGTCAAGCCTATGGTACTGAATATACCTGAATACTGAAGGCATTTTTATACAGATTGACTAAAACCTGAATCAGGCTAGAAGGAGAGGACTGAATTTTGATGGACTGGATGATTTGGATAATTTTTCATACTGTTTTGCTCAAGGAATGGTCAACTTCTAGGGGAAACAACTATATCATGCCTGTGAAGACCATAGACTCTTAACTTGAGAGGGATCTCAGCAACTATCTAATATCACTCTATCTCTCAACTAATGAGGTTATTTAGGTCTACATGAAAGAACCTACCTTGGGGTCCAGGCTTTGTGATGCTGATCACATTGATCTTCTACTCTGACTCAATGACTAGGTTCTTGAAGTTGAGTCCCCTCTCTTTCCCAAAGAAAATTGCCACCTTTTTTCAGACTTTCATGGTCCTCAGATAAAAGGAAATGGATAATTTGGGCAAAGTAACCAATGTTGGCATTTGTGTGGTCTCCTGGTGAGAGTTGGGGGCACCATAAGGTACCTGTTGTTTTCTCATTCCTCATCTCAATGTTGAGGTGTCCAGGGGCACACCCTAATTCTCTGTGCACCAGCTAGTAGCTTTAATGTTAAACTGATAAGAACAGATACCTACACTTGATCTTAGCCAAAAGTCTGAGAAGTGATATTAGCGGTTTTAATGAAGGTAGAAAATGCCCCTTTTCTTAGCTCCTTCTTCACTAGTATCACTTTAGGCTATTTCTGGAGTAATGATAGATAGGAAAGGATGGTTGAAAAACCAAATTCATTCATTCATATGAACCATATCTACAGTCAGACCAGAGTGGTTTTAACTTTTGCAGCCAATTGTCTCCTACAGTCAGTCCAGCCTCCCTTAAATCTGTTAAAACATGCCCCTCTGCACCCTCTCCCTGCCAATTCTGGGATTCTGCTTTTAATTGCCAGTTTCCTGGGCCTGCTTTAGTAGTCAGAATGGAAAACTTAAAGTGCGTTCAACACTTTCTGGTGATCATAAGAAAGTTGCAAAACAAACAAACAAACAAAACACACACACACACACACACACACACACAAAAAAAAAATCAAACAAATAACCCTTTCCCCCCTTTCTACCCTCTTTAACTGTTTTTAGATCACAGTCTTTTTTTAAAAGAATATATTTTTATTAATTCCAGAGAGGAAATGAGAGGGAGAGATAGAAACATCAATGGTAAGAGAGAATCATTGATTAGCTGCCTCCTGCATACCCCCTACTGGGGATCAAGCCCACAACCCCAAGCATGTGCCCTTGACCGGAATTGAACCCAGAACCCTTCAGTCCACAAGCCAATGCTCTATCCATTAAGCCAAAGTAACTAGGGCTGTTTTTAGATCACAAAGTCTTTGGGACATTCTTGGATTCTCTAAAAAGAGTTTGTTTTGGATTTTCAATGTGTTATTGAGTTTTTGGTTTGCTTGAGTAGAAAAGGTTCTTTACAACTGTCAAGTCCAATTCTTCTCATTGCATAGATGGGTAAACTGAGACCTTTAGATAGGGAGGGGCTAAGCTAGAATGATGCAGCATTTCAGTAGCAAGGCCAGGATCAACTAATCTATACTCTCTTATGTTAGGCTTGGAGAGGGGAAGATTGCTCTGGGGGTGCGTGGCAGAGGTGGTTTTTACCAGTAGTCTGTAAGCTATCCATTATTCTCTAGCCACCTATAACAATAGCTTGTTTTAAGAGAAAAGTTCTTAATTTTCTCTCTCTTACTCTTCTTATTTAGAGGGTCAATTTTGGTAAAATTTCTTCAATTTTCTGGTTTTTTAGCCCTAGCTAAATAGGTCAGGGGAAAGGTAATCAAGTCGTCATTGATAACACTATCCATGTCAGCAGACATAAAGCCTAGCTCCTTGAAGTGTTTGAAGGCTTCTGAGTCTGCATTCAGCTAAACTTTAACCGGGGCTGTGTGGACTGTTTATTCTCCTGCCATTCCTAGCATTGCTTGAGCCACTCGAGTGGCACTAAAGTGGTACTTGGTGAATAGGAGGAAAAATCTCAGTCTTTTAACCCTTGAACTAGCCTTTGCCTGCAGACTTTAGGACTGGGCAACAGATCAGGAATGGAGGTTATGTGAGAGAAGGGTGACTTTTTGGATCCTGTACTATCCACTTCTTTGGTTTTCCAGTTTACTAGGCCCTTTGTGAAAGCATAGACAGACAGAGCAGGAACTATCTTGGAGATTTCCTTTAGGCTTCTTCTTGAATAGCCCTCTAGGCACAGAGGGGATGTTGTGGCAAGAAACCTTTTATGGGACCCTTGAAGGCACCAAATAATCTATGCTCTTTCATGTTAGGCTTGGAGAAGGGGAAGATTGCTTT